TCATCCCTGTACCATAGGGTAGCCAGGGCTGGTCCATGTTATGCATTTACTACCATTAATTATCCATGGATATGGTGACAAATATTTGCATTTTAAGGCTTAGATACATATAGCTAAGGTGACCATATAATTAAGTGTCCGATCTGAGCTACTTCTGCTAATGAGAGTTATTAGTAAGTACACCCAGCTGCAGCCTGGCAGCCCAGGACAGTCACCCTGTGCTGCTGAAACAGAAGCGGGAGCAAGCTCACGATGTTACAACCACACTCAGACCTTTGGAGGGAGGTAAGGACAAAACATTATTTTAGGAAAAAAGTTCTTAAAGCAAAGATCTTAAACTGGGTCGGTGAAACCCTCACCACTGGACGCAGGATTCCGGGTGAGGGCTTGTCCGGGGGCGGGGCCCGTGCTGTCACGGTTTGATCAGGGTTGTGATTGAAAGATTTAATGACTGTTTATGAAATATTTCTACTTCCTTGTCTCCTCTCAAGACATACTTTTTAGAGCTTTGGGATTCTCCAAGGTCAAGTGATAAAAGTACTGAATTTTTAAAAATATGTCTTATTGATTTTTTACAGAGAGGAAGAGAGAGGGATTGAGATTTAGAAACATCGATGAGAGAGAATCATCAATCAGCTGCCTCTTGCACACCCCCTCCTGGGGATGCGCCCGCAAATGGCAGGGATGCCACCTGTAGACAACGTTAATTCTACACATTTTTAAAAGTATTTGGCTCCTTGCCCTGAATTATCTGCAGGGCGATTGGGGGAGCATAGGGAATTCACTACTTAGGGATGTTTTTTAAGGGTCAGTATTCCAAAACTATTCCATATTACTACCTACAGCATAAAATTGTGGTTTTCTTAAAAGGTTTCCTCTTACCAATTCATTCCCATGGGAATGATGGGAGGTGCTAAGATTCTATATGGCATCCATGCAAAGCAAAGATGCTGCCTCAAGCATGTTTATATAACTGCAAAACATGCGAAGAACACCTGCTGAGCGTGGTCTGTGCGCCGCCTCAGGCAGAGCCAGTGTCCGTCCTCACGTTCCTGAGCCGCCGGGGGGCTCCTGGGCCAGCTCCAGGGGCCGTGCCGAGGGTGCTTGTGCCTGACCTGGCCTTGGAAGGGAGGGGCAGGCAGAGGGAAACCTCTCAGGTGAAGGGTGCAAATGCAAATGCTTCGGTGATGGCCTGAAGCCTGTCAGCTTCCCACCAAGCTCACACAGGGTGACTTTCTCTCCTAACCTCCATGCTGCCAGAATCCACATGCACTTTCCTTTCTTAGGAGAAAATGTGTCATTTGACTTCCTTCCAGTTTATGTACTCATGCCAACAACTAAATGCTTAAAGAACCGAAATGAATTACTACCCAGAAATGGTGGTCAAAGTTCCAAAATGTGATCAATAAAATTGCTCATCTACTCACAAATTAATCTTCAGCCAGTAAAGTTCCACATTTTTAGCTTACGAGCACACCTGCACTATTAAGCATTTATTTCACTATTTAAGCAATCTTCAGAAGTAGATAAATATTTATAAAAGTAAGCCTACTATTTTTACTTACATATAATTTTCATTTTGCAGCAAAAACTTGTTAATTTTTTACAACCCATAAGCATTCTGAAGGCAGGCTCTGTGTCTCCCAGTCTCGTGTCTGAGGGTGTCTAAGACGTCCCCCACACTGCAGCTGTTCGCAAAATGTCCACCGAGTTGCATGCAATTAACTCAGATCATTCTGATTCTGAATTTAAGATGAGGCCAGTTTTCATTTGTATCATTCATGAAAAATTGGCAAAGCAAATTAAAGACTAAAATAAGAGGCTATTTAGGCTAGTAAGTAGAGTATTTTTAAAGAACTTGGGAAGCAGTATCTATACTCAATCAGTCCTCTCTATAAACCACAATGTCACCCAAGAATGTGGTAGCTCAGATTTTGTTCAATATGTGTAGCAAAGAACACGATTCTCTCTTTACTCTGATCTCCCTGAAATTAGTTCAAATCGGTGGTGTTTGACTACATTCTGTGCTCTCTATCGAGTAACCACACAGCCCGCCTCTAACTTTCCATTTTCCTTTGTTTGTATCACCAGCCGTGAGGCTGGGGAGCGCTGCCAAGCCAAAGGCAGGGAAGTGTGAGATATGCTTAAAATATGAGTCACAGTGTATTTGGGGATTTGGGTTGCTTTCTTTCTCCTCAAGCTATCAGCAGATCAAATTCTTCTTCCATGTGCACCTCCTCCACGCAAAAGGTCTGTCGTTTGTGAGGATAGGTCTGTAGCCACGAAGGCAAGGAGGTCAGCGAGGAACAGTGCCGAGACCCCGAAGGGCTCCCGCTCAGTGCTGAGCCGCGAGGCATGCCGGGCATGTTTACACGCACAGGTTACCCCTTCTGTGACTCCGGAGCCCACATACGTATTTTCATAAAGGCATAACCTACATGGGACGTAGGCTATCATTTCTGCCTGGCTGTGGAAGGCCTGCCAACCTAATAAAGCTCAGTGACTCCGCATGACCACACCAGCCTGCTGAGGAGCCGTCCTCCATGCTGCACACGTGCGTGCACACAGCGCGCACACACACACACACACACACACACACACACACCTCTTCCCCCCAATCAGTTCCTAAAGCTGATCTAAATTCTCTGCTTGTCAAGTCTCCCACTGAGGGAGGGAGGGACATACACATCTTCATTAGCAGAGCCAGCATCAAGACGGCCCCTGGCCCTGCTCTTACAGAGTCAAGTGCTCAGCAAATGTGGCTTTGGCACTGTCCTTGCCAAGAAAAACGAGGCTCTATCCCACTGTACTGTAGCTGGAACATTACAACAGGCAACAAGAGCAGAGCTCCAAAGGAACCCCTGAAACCTGACTTCATATGTTTAGCCCTGACGGAGCTTCATTCATCTTGGAAAAGAAGTTACCTAAAAATGCCATCTGTAGGTTTTTTTAAATGCAAGTATGAGGAAAATCAGTCTAGTATAAAGAGTGACAAATGGTGTTCCACACCGAGCTGCGCCCAGGCCGCCTGGACGGGGGCCTGCTGTTTCCTCACGTCTCTAACAGCTCGGCTGTCCGGGGTCCACCCCAACAAGAGCGATTCCCCGGCACCGGAGGCTGAGGTCCGTGCTCTTAGGGCTGTGAGAGCCCGAGGACGGCAAGGAGAGCGGCAGCCCCCAGCCCCCGCCTGACAGGCTCCCTGTGTGCACGTAACTGATCCTGTCTGCACCAGCGGTGGGCTCTGCTCTGGAATCACACGTGGCCGCCACCACCGCCCTCTGAGGCACAGGCCCAGTCTGACCACGAGACTGTCCAGTCTGATCCTTTCAGCTTATTTGAATCTGGATAAACAGGCCCTCTGAAAGGTCAGCACAGTCCCAGTCCGTCCTCCAGAGCTGCCCGCAGGCTCTGCACCACAGCCCTGCGAGCACCTGGACGGACCGGCTCTGCCCTCATTAAAACGTCCCGAGCAGCAGGGGGCTCATGAGGCTCTACCAAGGAGGTGCTTTGGGAAGTGCTGGCAAACAGCGTGCCCCACCGTCCCTCCCGGCAGTGTCACCACGGCGAGACGGCCACGCTTGCCCAAGGGGGCGCAGGAGGATGGCTGCTGCCAGGGGACGTGCACTGAGCCGTGGTTTGCTCCGATCTGAGAAGAGTCTAACAATCTAGAATTCGGGGTGATCCTGCGATCCAATGATTCGGCACTGAGCTCTGCCCATCACCAGAAGTTCGTAGATTCTGTCCCAAAGTGTCCAGTGTGGGAAACCCACTCAGACCCACGCTGAGCCGCCCACCCTCAGCTCCGGCAGCAGCTGCTGCCTGGCCTGCACACCCTCTCCAGATGGCAGTGTCAATCCCGAGTTAAGGCTCTTTGAAGTTTCTATTAAAATGTTCTATCTACTCCGATAGAAAATCAAAATCAAACTTGTATGAACTCACTCCTTCTACTCTGCAATCCCTTTCTACATTGAGCCAGAAAGGAGAAGGCACTAAAACAATACTTCTCGGTATCTGTACATAAAAACTGCTCATGCCGAAACCGATGTGGCTCAGTGGATAGAGCGCGGGCCTGCGGACTGAAAGGTCCCAGGTTCGATTCCAGTCAAAGACATGTACCTTGGTTGTGGGCACATCCCCAGTAGGGAGTATGCAAGAGGCAGCTGATCAATGTTTCTCTCTCATTGATGTTTCTAACTCTCTATCCCTCTCTCTTCCTCTCTGTAAAAAAAATCAATAAAATATATTTAAAATATAAATAAAAATAAAAAAAACTGCTCACCACTTTTTATGAATAATTCAGAAGTATGCGGAAAACATCCACTCAAGAAACGAGTGTATATGACATCCTTGACCAGGTGCATTAACAGCCTCTCAGTTCAGCAATGGCTCCTGAAACTGATGCCGTTTGGGCTGAAGAGTGCTGTGTGGGGGACTTACTTTTCTGAGCAATTCAGGGTGTCCAGCCGCACCCCGCTTCACTTCCTACGTGCCAGTGCCAGCCGCACTAACGCTCCCCTAGCTGTGAAAACTACACGTCTCCTGGGAACCCTACCCCCGCACTGAAGCAGGTATGCGGGCACCCCATCATGAGAGACTGTGACTGTCTAGAACCGACGACAGAGAATGTGGTGATGCATCTGAGCACCACGACCCTCTCTCACAGCGAGCGCCCAAGCACCGACCTGCTTCCACGCATCGGCCTACAATCCCGACACCAGCGGGTCTCACCCAACGCCACCACGTTTGGCTGAACAGACCTTTCCCGACAGCGTCACACTCGGCTGAGACCAGCGGCACCTGCCCAGACAGCCCGCTGCCATTCTCACACAGCCCCTGGCCAGTGGCTGTCCATGTGGAAAACGTCATTTACTTTTAAAAGACGCGCTACCTAGCCCTCCTTGCGTGGCTCAGGTGTTTGGCACGCTCTCCGGGATCCTGAAAGGATGCCGGTTTGATTCCCCTCCAGCACACCCCCAGGTACTTTTAGAAAGAACGGTTACCTGCAGGGCTGGCTGCTTGTCATTCCTCTTGGGAGACTTGATGCCACTAACTTGCTGCTGCTGCTGAAGGAGGAGCTGTCTTGCCACCTGAAGAGCCTGCAAGGAAGAGTGGAAGAAAAGGTCTCCGTTACCCCAGGTCACAGCAGCCTGCACCAGGACTCCACGAGGGCACTTAAGGACAAGATCCCGCCCTGGCCGGTTCAGCTCAGTGGATAGAGCATCAGCCTGTGGACTGAGGGTTCAATTCCAGTCATAGGCACATGCCCAGGTTGTTGGCTCAATCCAGTCAAGGGGCCATGAAGGAGGCAGCCAATCAATGGTTCTCTCTCATTATTGATGATTCTCTCTCTCCCTTTTTCTCTGAAATCAATAAAAATATATGGGGGGAGGGGTGGCAGGAGAGAACAAGATGCCAACTTTCCCAATTCCAGGCAAATGGAACAGCAAACAAAACTTTCCACCCATCTAAATTGAAAAACATTCCTGAATTTGTGGACATTTTCTTAGGTTTAGTCAGTTTCACAGAGTTCTTTAGGCATAGCAATCCACCTAAGCAGACATTTTATTCCCACCAAAAATCAAACACGGAACGTGGAACAGGGAAGATGAGACTGTTGAGGGAGGCTGGCAGGGAGCAGCTGGGAAGCTCCTGGCAAAGACAGAAACGTCCAAGACAAGGCACCTACCCCTCCTCCAATTCCTCTTGGAGAGCCTGGGAACTGAAGTTGAAAGCAACACTTTCACCTCCTCTGAGACCAGAACAGAGGAAGAGGTACATGGCGCAGGCACAATGGATAATGCTACTTGGGAAGGAAGCCTAATGGGTGAGCTCTACTAACGGAGGCCTCGGTGAACTGTGTAGGGGAGGACTTTCACATTTGACCTCTAACTCAACTTAAAGGGCACATCCTGTACCTGTGAACAAAGCTGGTTTGTCTCCTACAAATGACTGTCTATGGCTTCATCCATAGGAGGGTGTTTATTTAAAGGCAGTAACTACAGCAGTGATATGAGTTGGAGATAAAGCAAAAGGAAAACAGGAGAGTCCTCCGAAGTGCAGAGTGCGATTTAATTAGGCTTTTCTTATTAAATCACTGACCACTCCGTCTGTTTAAAGGACAGTTGCCACACAATATATACTGGCTTCAGGCACACAGTATAGTGGTGCTACATTTGTACACTTAGTGTCATCATGCTCTGTCCAGTCACCACCCATCACTGTGCAAAGTGAGTACAATATTATTGACTATACTAGAGGCCCAGTGCATGAAATTTGTGCACTGGGGGAGGGAGAGTGTTCCCTCAGCCTAGCCTGCACCCTCTCTAATCTGGGACCCCTTGGGGGATGTCCTTGGGATTGGGCCTAAACCAGCAGTCATACATCCCTCTCACAATCTGGGACTGCTAGCTCCTGTCACCTGCCTGCCTGCCTGCCTGATTGCCCCCAACAAACCCCTCTGTTGGCCTGGTTGCCCCCAATGGCACCCCCTTACTGGCATGGTCACCCCTAACTGCTCACTGCCAGCCTGGTCACCCCTTACTGCCCCCCCTTCCAGCCTGGTCACCCCCCAAATGCCCACCCACTGGCCTGGTCACCACTTACTATCTCCTCCCCCCCACCCCCCCTCGCCAGCCTGGTCGCTCCCAACTGCCCTTCTGCCGGCCTGGGCGCCCCACACAGCCTGCTGTTCAGTCATTCGGCTGTCCCTCACTCCTGCCCCTGCCAGCCTGGGCGCCCCACACAGCCTGCTCTTTGGTCATCTGTCTGGTTGTTTAGGTCGTGACGGCCCCTGACTTTTTATATATTAGGATTTTCTGTAAATTAAGACCCATCTTTTTAAAAAGTTCAAAAAAAAAAAAAAAAAAAAAAAAGAAAGAAAGAAAGAAAGAAAGAAAGAAAGAAAGAAAAGGTATCACTGGTAAATCCTTTTGGGGGCATTTTTTATTGAAGAATTTACTAAGAGTACCAGCCAACCACACCCAGCAGCAGGATCAAGACCAGACAACTGACGTTTGGAGACTCTGAATGAGAAAATCACATGAGAAGTGATGTTTCACTTCAGTCAACTAGCTGAGAACCAGGTGTGTGCACACGGAAGGTGTTGAGAATGTTCACTAAAGGAGGTGCCCAGAGTTGAGAGAGGAACAAGATTTCCCAGTGTCTTCCCCAACATGACTGTCATGTGCGCCTCCAGGAAGACACACACACAGTGTACCTGGTCACCGTACAAAAGGTCTGAAACTAGAGTCTATGTTGTGCACAATAGACTTATATCCTATACTAGAGGCCCAGTACATGAAAATTCATGCACTCGAGGGTGGGGGGGTGGAAGTCCATCAGCCCAGTCTTACAATCCGGGTCCCTAGGCCAGGACTAAGATCAGGGCTTATCAGGGCTTTCCTTTCCCCAGATGCAGGCCGCTGGCCCCCCACCGCTGCTGCCATGGCTTGCCATCTGTGCAGCACTGCCCCCCTCCCTGCCACCAGTCACCTCCTTCTGTGGGCGACAGGTGTGGGGTGCGATGGCTTGGCTGGCCTGGGCCTCCCTCTGCGGGGCAATCGCTGGCCTGCTGCACACCTGCCACAGAGTCGCTGGCCAATGGCCTGGGCCTCCCTCTTTCTTTGCTTGGGGGCGGGGCCAGCCCTGCAAAGGGCTGTCTGCCTACCTGATTGCCCTAACTGCTGGCCTGCCTACTGGATCACCTCTAACCACTTGCCTGCCTACCTGATCACCCCTAACTGCTTGCAGGGGGCTGGGCCAGCCCTGAAAGGGATCAATTGCCTAACTGATCACCCCTAATCACTTGCTTGGGGGCAGGGCCAGCCCTGTAAGGGGCCATGGTGGTTCTGGTCTCTGGTCATTCTGGTCGTAACACTTATGGTGGCTGGCCTTTTATTATATAGGACTAGAGACATAAATTAAGGGAGGTGATCCCTCAGCCTGGCCTGCACCCTCTCCAATCACGAACTCCTTGGGGGATGTCCGACTGCTGGTTTAGGCCTGATCCCACAGAGATTGGGCCTAAGCTGGCAGTCGGACATCCCTCTCACAATTCGGGACTGCTGGCTCCTAACCACTTTCCTGCCTGCCCCATCAACCCCTAATTGCCCCCCTGCTGGCCTCTTCATCCCCCCACCTGCCCCCCTGCTGGCCTGGTCACCCCCCAAGTACCCTCTGCTGGCCTGGTCCAGAAGGAAGTTGTACATCTGGAAGATGTCCAGTCACCCAGTCTAATTAGCATATTACCCTTTTATTAGTATATAGATAATAAAAGCTTAATATACTAAGTGTCGAATCGTCCATTCAAACAACCAAAGCATAACATGGCAATGATATGCTAAGTTGCTCAACTGCTTGCTATGACACCCACTGACCACCAGGGGGCAGACACTCCAACTGGTAGGTTAGCTTGCTGCTGGGATTCGCCTGATCAGGACTGAGTGAGATGGGCCAGACACACCCTGGAGCCCTCCCTCGATCTCTCCCTAGTTGGCCAACTTCCTACGTCCCATCCTGGCCCTGATTGTGCATCAGTGGGGTCCCTTGGCCTGGCCTGTGCCCTCTCGCAATCCAGGTCCCCTTGGGAGATGTCAAAGAGCTGGTTTCAGCCCAATCCCGCAGGCAAGGCCAAAAGACTCCACTGGTGCACAAATTCATGCACCGAGCCTCTAGTAAGAGATAATGATTTCCACTTTAAGGAGCTATAGTCACATGATAGGGGGAGAAAGGTGAGGTGGTGTGGAGGGAGGTTCCCATGCATCCAACTCAGGAGAGGGAAAAAGAGTGCCAGGGTCATGGGTCATGAGTGGGCACATGAAATTGGTGGATCAGCAGCAGTAGTGCTTTTCGTAGAACAACCTCCTGACTAAAGTAAGCTCCTAGCTGTAGCATGTAGCAGGCTCTGCGGGCACTTTGTGAGGATAAGGGTGCCTTCCTGTCTAAGAGGCACAGGGGCTGTGGTACACTGACACGGCTGATGAGTGAGCAGAAAGCAAGGACCTGGGGAAAGATGGGGCCCTTCTTCCTACCATATCCCTCTGTCAGGGAGGCCTCTGCCTACCAGGCTCACCACAGCCAGCTCTCAGAGGCAGCTCGGCTATGGTGCCTGGAGAGGGGCAGTGGGGGGAGGCCGCCTGGTGGAGCCCCAGGGAGGGGGCTGCCTGCCGTCTCCTGGGAGATACACCATCCCTGGACTCCGGCCTCCTTGTCTCCATGGAGACGCTCAGCACATGTGTAGGTGTAAAGTGGGCAGAGCAAAGCTTCCATGTACATCGGGTAAGGGAAACAGTCCCCTTCCAGGCACCGCCTGAGCGGCTCCCCAGGAGGCTCCACGGAAGGCTTTAACCTGGGAAGGGAACTGGGACATTTTAATTGCGATCATCAGAGCTCCTGGAGCAACAGCCTGACCAGCTGCCAGTGGGGAAGCAGCCAGGGCCTGAATGACAGCGAGAGGCTGTGTGGGGATGGCAAAAAGGTCACTTCTGTTTCACATGGAAACGGAGCAGAGTCAGGACAACTCCACACAAATCTCCATTAAAGCAACTTGCCATGTTTCACTAAATATTTAGAGAACAGGCACTTAATATCTCTCTCTCTCTCTCTCTCTCTCTCTCTCTCTCTCTATATATATATATATATATATATATATATATATATATATGCCTAAGCAACCGAACAACCGGCTGACCAGTTGCTATGATGTACACTGACCACCAGGGGGGCAGATGCTCAATGCAGGAGCTGCTCCCTGGTGGTCAGTGCACTCCCATAGCCAACCTCCTGCAGCCGGCCAACCTCCCTCGGCCCCTCTCCCCCACCCCGGGTGGGCTATCTCTATCCTCCCACCCCCTATTGGCCCCAATCACTGGCCAGGCTGAGGAACCCCACCCATGCATGAATTTGTGCATCGGGCTTCAAGTATTTAAATAAGTTTTAGAGAATCTAATAATTAACTCCTCATTTCAGCAAAAGGGATGATAGTAAATGTCTTTTTTTTTTTTTAAAGGCACACATACAGAAAAAAAGGTATTATTGTCTGAGCATGTTCTCATACATGTGCTTCAGCAAAGGAGGCACAGTGTGGGCCTCAGACCTA